TATTACATGTTAGTCCAATGGATCAAGTAGGGTTCATTAAATCTTAGACTAGTTGTTGATCTGATTGCATTAAATATAGGGTGGATATGGAATTAAAGCAGGCAGTTGTGTCAAAGATGTTCTTAACCTTAGTCAGCAGATCACTTAGTTCAGACAGTATCCATTACAGACTTCTCAAAGAACTCAAATGTGAAATTTAGAAAGATGTTTACTAAACAAATAAATAAATTGCTGACCTTCTTACCAAATCATTTAATATGTCCCTAAAAACAGCCCCTGTACCACAGAATGGCCAATGTAACACCAATTTTTTAAAAGGAATTCAGTGGGGACTTGGGAAATTACAGACCAGTTAGTTTAAGATCTGTTAAACTGCTTGAAAGCATAATTAAAGATAGACTCATAGAGGAACAAGCCCTGCTGAAAAAACTCAGCTGGCTTTTGCAAGGGGAATCTTGTCCCTATTGGAGTTCATTGAGAGTGTCAGTAAACATGTAGATAGGGGCAAATCAGTAGACATTGTTTACTTGGACTTCCAAAAGGCTTTTGACAAAGTTGCTTTCCAAAGACAGTCATGGAATAAAAAGTGTGTGTGTGGAGGGGATCCTCTTATGCATCACTAATTGGTTAAAGAACAGAAGACAGAAGGTGGGAATAAATGGCAACTTCTCCCAATGGGGAGGTAATGAGGAGGAGGAGGAAGAGAGGAGAATGAGCATCTCTCTAACCTGGGAGAATGGACTTCAAGATGACAAATGCAGTTCAATATAGGCAAGTGTAAGGTAATGCATATTGGAGCAAAAAATCCCAGCTTCAATTATATGCTGATGGGATCTGAGCTAGCAGTGAGGAAGCAAGGAAGGAAGCTTGGAGTAGTAGTGGACAGATCACTGCAAATGTTGGTCCAGTGTGCAGCTGCTGTAGAAAAGCAAACGCCATGCTAGGCATAATTAGTAACAGAAGGCAAAATAGAGCTGCTAAGCTCTTACTCCCCTTATACAAATCCTTAGTACAGCTGCACTTGGAATACTGTGCCCAGTTCTGGTCATCATACCTGACAATATTGAGTTGGAAAAGGCACAGGGAAGAGCAACAAGATTTATTTGGAGTCTGGAGCAACTCCCCATGAGAAGAACTTCCCCATGAGAACAGCTGGGACTGTTTAGCTTAGAAAAAGTGTGAGCAAGGGAAAACATGACAGAAGTGTTTAATATAATGGATGGTGAGAGGAAAGTGGAGAGGGAGACATGATATTAGTATCCAGGGTCATCCCATGAAACAGATGGGGAGACTTAGGAGAGAAAAAAAAGTAAGCACTTCACACAATGCACAATTGATCTCTGGAATTCAGTGCCATAGGAAGTAGAGCCAAGTTGGATGGCTTTGAAAGAGGACTGGACAAATTCATGGAGGAAGAGGCTGCCCGTGGCTACTAGCCTTGCTGTCTGTGTGCTTCCTCTGCTTTCAGATGTGCAGCGTTTGTGCACACCAGTTGCTGAGGAGCTTGGGCAGGTTCTGGGATGCTTCTGGGATGCCGTGGCAGCTGGTTTGCCAATGGTCTGACCATTAAGCCTTCGGGCTGATCCAGCATGGCTTTTCTTATGTCCTTATGGAATTCCCGTAACAGATTTTGTGCATCTGCTGCCAGAGCAACGATTTAAACGAGCAAGGAATCTCCCCCTGCTCAGGTTCCTGCAGTAAACTGGAAGCAATTTCATAATCTCTTAAAACAGCAGCATCCTGACGCTGGATGTTGTTGCTGTTCTTTAGTGTTCTTTCCAACCCCTACCTGGGCATGCTAGGGACTGAAATGGGGATCTTGTGTATGCAAAGCAGGTCTTCTACCACTGAGCTATAGCTCCTTCCTTAAAATGTGTGTGCATGTGTTGTATTACTTTCAAAGATTTTTGTAGGGTGGCCCAAGGGCTGGCATTTTAGTTTCTTCCTGTTAACTTTATTTCCTCTCATTTTTTCTCTTAACTGGCTCAGTGGTAGAGTGCCCAGCAGCATGTCTGCTACATGCTTGCAAAATGGGACCAGTAATGCCTCTGGGAAGATGCTACATGATTTGTTATGAGGGACATTGTACAGAAAAATGGTAGCTGTTCTCACCCCATTGAAGCTATTGACTGATGTTGTGGTTTCATATTCTAACTTAACCATGTAGTGTTGTTCCCAGAGGCAATAGTGGGAACATTTTCCCATTTCCCAAGCATGCTGTTTCTGTACTGCCAGGCATTCTGCCACAGAGCACCTGCTTCTTAAACAAGTTCTTTAAAGGAAAGGCAGTAAAGCTGCCAGCACTCATACCCCTTCATATAACCCATTGTAAGCAATACAGTCCTACCACCTGGAAGATAAATGGCTCAGAATATCACCAGATGCAACTGGGCAGCCATCAAAAGCGTTTGACTTGATGTTGGATCCAATGACCCCTTCCAATGCAACTATTCTGTGATCCCACGATCCTGTGACTTCCCCCATCTTCATTTTCTGTGCAAAGGTCCAGTAGAGACAATGGTATTTGCACAGCCATGGTTCTTAGGGAACAATATGAGATGGGCCAGTAAAGGGAAATGTAAGTAGCCACAGAGAAGAGATGAAGAAAACATCCTTAAGCAACAGCAGAACATTGGAAAGAACTGTTTTTGCTTGTAAGAAAGGATCAGGTGACTATGGTTGTGTAGATTCCCCCCCTTCCTCCGGGCTTCTGTGCTTCAGCACTGGGACAATGTGTTCTGACAAATGTACAGGATGCACTGTAATTGTATGTGACCTTGGCAACCATAGGTTACGCTATTAGCATTCCCATGGATATCGCTGCAGGGGCATACTGAACAATTAGCAAAGTGAATAAAAGATATTCACACATGCCACTTAGGGATTGTAATTTTTATGCCACTTGGAGACATTTTGACCTTCTAGTTTATTATGATTCAAGAAAAATGTCAATATTTCTCAGCCTGCCAAGGTTGTTGGAATTTTAATGAGTTATTGAATGAAGCAGTTAATCCTCCAATAACAGATTCCTTTCCTTTGACTCTACAGTGATGACAATAAAGGTTTAACTACAGCTGTAGAAGAAAAATGGGATTTTATTTTCAATTTTTACATGTGCAACTATTGACGGATAGTGTAGTTTCATATTTTAACTCAATTTGGTCTGCAGGGGGTTTTGGAGTCCCTACCTTCCACACTGAAGCATTTTGTGCTGTGCTGTAATAGTGGAAAAAGATGAAAAAGCAGCAGCAGGAGGATTAAAGCCTGCAGTAAATTGCAACTCAACCTTTCTGTTTTGATTATTCCTTTTGCAACATCCTTTTGTAATGCTCCACATTGTGCTTATTAGAATTAACAGTGCACAGTAATCTAATTTTGAGAAACATGGATAATGGAGAATAATGCCAGTTATTAATTTTTGTGCAAAACCCTCATTGGGAAATCTTTTGTCTGTATCCATTTCTGCTAATAGCTGTAGCCTTGAATTCTCTGAAAAATCAGGTGGCTCATTACTGAGCACAGAAATTTACATTACTAGTTTTTCATGTCCATACAAGAATCCTATGCGGTTTAAAAAAAAAAAAAGCTCAGAACTTGCATGTTTATATATAAGCTGACTATACATAAATATTTGTATACATAAATTGTATACATAAATATTTTGAGATAAGTTTGTATGTGTACATATAACTTGTTTACACTTGGTAAGAAAATTTGGAGAAAGATGGAGTTCTTTTTCAGAAGACATGAAATAGTACTATAGACCCACACAATGTATTTTATTGTGTTGTAAGCCGCCCCGAGGCTTCAGCAAGGGGCGGCATAGAAATGTAATCATCATCATCATCATCATCATCATCATCATCATCATTGAGCGACTTGGTTTCTTTTGTTCAGCTACCACTTCTAGGAGTCAAATGCCATCTTGAGAACCTTGGTAGAGATGAAGTACAAATATTATAGATAAACAAATAAATAACAAAACCAGCAATTATGCCCAATACTGTTTTTAGTTTAGATTTGTAGAGAAAATAATACAATTTGTAAAAATAAATAAATAAACTGACTGTGAATGTGGTTTTAGCAGTGCATCTAATCCCTGCAAAAACTAGTTGTCCTGAGATGAGGGGAGCCCAAAAAGGGTACATAGCACCTTCAGCCCTCTAGAAACTACTGTATGTATCCAGACTTTCTTCTCTCAGTACTCATGTAACAATACAACCCTATGTTCCTGCACTTAGAGTTTCCAAAGTACTCCCACTGTTAATGAGATTCTTCTTAATTAGCCTTTATTACCTTAAAGATGCAAGAATGACCTCATCTAATTTTGTCATTCTGCTTTTATTCAGTTGAGAGCACTTTTTTATCCTTTGGCTTTACAAAAACGGTTTCCTATCCAGTTGAAATCAAGTTCCCTGCTGAGACTATGAAGAGAGTGCCCTATTAAAATTACATGGTCAATATGCTGTAATTATTTCTCTCAGGTTGCAGTTTATCACATGAATTAGCAATAAGCAGGAGCTGAGGTCTGCTCCTTTAGGGATGGACTTGTAGCTCATTCCTAAGCATGTTTCTTCAGAAGCGAGTCCCAGAACTATGTTCAATGAAATGTCATCTGCAGTCAATATGTTGGCACTGCAGCCTTAAAATTCCATGGACTGCTGCTTTAATTACACATGAGGCTGATGAGCTCTGATTAAACACACTGGAGTGGGGATGACAAAGGCACCAGGTTGCTGCTCTGACACAAGCAACGGCTAGAGAGGGACAGATCTCTCCATTCCCCTTTAGTCAGAAAACTCTTAATAAAAATCAACTGAAATGAAATTCTCCCCCAAGCCTGGCAAGTTCAGTGGGAGCTATTGAAGGGAGCTAAAATCCAGTTCATAGATAAGTGACAGCTGGAAACTTAACTGACCTGTTAGAAATGTGGCAGAAGTATATGTCAAATGCTTTTTTAAAAGAACCCAGGAAATAAGATAGCACCAGCCAAAGACATGATGCGTATATAAGTAACGGGTCTGGCAGATGCTCTTGTTATTAGCTTGTGTGTGAGAATACGCCCTCTAGTGGTTGTCTGCAAGAACACAGACCTTCCATTGAACAAATAGGGGTCAGAGCCTGGAAATTGGGGCATGGTGGCACTGGAACAGGTGACATATGTGTTCGGGGGGGGGGGGCATTGTCTAAAAAGGATTACAACCAGTTTGGCACTTAGTTGGCACACCCTTGCAAATGCTTGATGGATATAAAAGCATCTCTCATGTTACTTGGCTTGGGGTTGTTCACAAGAATGAGAGCTTTTTGTTTTCTGCTTTTCCAGTGCTTTATGGGCAAGATGGCCTCCATGCATCGTGTGAAAAGAAATATTGTGGCCGTGGGAGTAAGTGTGTTGTGAATAAAGAGACTGATAAGCCTGAGTGCAGGTGCATAGATGACTGCAAGCCCAGTTACATGCCGGTGTGTGGCTCAGACGGCAAATTCTACGAAAATCATTGTGAACTACACCGAGCGTCATGTTTGCAAAGGAAGAAGATCTACATTATTCACAGCAAAGACTGCTTCTTCAAAGGTAGGCCTTTTTCTCTGACCAGATGACGCTAGGCAATTTATGCCATCTGCTTTGCTTTGTCAGGTCATCTGCTATGTTTAATTCTAATAAAAATGTTTGAAGGATTGCATAGACTAGGCAATAAGTTCACAAATGTTATTGGAAAGTAATTAACCTATGAACTAATAGTAAATGTATTTCCATATATGGGACAGTATCCAGTGCAGGCAATTCGCTAGCACTTACCACATTGTGCCTACAGCAATGACCACTAAAGCAAAGAGAAGCTAGCACTTACTGTCATGGAATCCCTAGAATTGAACTGTAGAGTTGGAAGGGTTCTGTAAGGCCATCAAGACCAGCCCACCGCTTATTGCAGGACTGGAAACTACCATTTTCATAATGGAGCTTTGTGGACATGGCTAGAAATGCTGGTTTGATATTGTTTCCCATTGGCTGTCACACGCACTAGCTTTCCATTGTGCTAGCATTATTCCCACAATTACAGTCACACAATTGGTTATAAACCATTGTATACTAAGCATCTTTCAGTGAACATATAGTGAATCTTGTTGTGTTGTTCTATTCAGCTTTGAACAAAACAGAAGAATAGGGGAAGCTGTATGTAATCGCTGGAAAGGAGCAGTCAGTAGCAACTACTCTACAATTTATTCTGCATAGATCAGGAAAATATCATAGTGCTGCCTCTGAAGACACATGCATGTCTATGTGAAACTATCTTTCTTTTTCTGCAATGTTACAACAGTGTGGACTTTACATAGTAGATTCATTTTTCCTACTCAAGGATGTTCACAAGGGGTGTTTCCTAAGAAAAAGAAAATGGATAGCATTCTTATACAGCCAGATGGAACAGCTGAGCACAGGCAAAATATTCTCCCTTGGAGTGACCCACCAGGAACATCAGAAGAACTATGCAATTTAATTTTTTTTAATGGTACAGAGGAAAGGACGGGAGCCACTTCCACTGCTATGTCAGGGCCCTCTCACTGTGGTTCTTAAGCAGAGAAATAAGACATGATTGCAAATATCACAAAGCATGTCCGTTTTGGCCCTGTTTTGTTGCTGGATGCTTGGAGAACAAAGGTGCAGAATCCAGGGAGTTTATGTGGTCTGTTTATGCAGGCTTGTAAAAGGTATTCAATCCAATTCAAAGAGCAGCAGTGATCTCTCTTTGACCTGAAGCTCTTAACTCAGGACAATTACATTTCTATTTTAGTAACCAGGAGGCCCTGTTCTGGAGCATAAGAAGAGCTGTCATGGATCAGGCCTGTACCATCTGCAGTCCTACAGCAATCAGGCAGATGCACGGGAGGAGGCTACACATTGCAGTGCATGGCCACCACGATTAGCAGGCACTGACGGAAGGCTCATCTTCCATGCTCTCCATGTTGGCAACCATCACAAAACGTTGTGGTGGTGAATTCCATGGTCTGACCATGCACTGCATGAAAAAGTACTTCCATTACCTGTCCAGTATCTGCAACCTCCTTGCCATTGCAGGGTATTGCAGGGAAGTTATTTCTAATGACATAAATGGAGCAGGGATCAGGACTAAATACTCTGATTCAGAACTAGCTGTTTGCACTGCACTGTGCTTTCTCAGCTGGGAGCAACAGAGGCTTCTTTTAGCTTTTAACTGATTGTTAAGAGCCAGAGAAGAATCACTTTCTATCGGTTCATCATAGGAACTTGACTTTGACGAAAAATAAGCTCCTTGCCATAGTGGAAGCGATGAGGATAACTGAGGCTAATATGAATGGATCTTTGTCAAGGAGAATTCTCCTTCTCCGAAATGTGGCCTGCTCTTGACTTGGACGTCCTCTGTGATTTATGTGTATTTCTTTCAAGCCATTCAAGGAAAGAATCTTTGTATGAATTAAACAGTCACGAATGAAACACATAACAGATCTTTTGGAAGATAGTAGCTTTTACTTCAGTGGCAAGTAGGTTACCTGAGTCCATGCATTTGGGCTAGATTACATAGCAAGCCAAAGGAAATATCCCCCTAGGGAGCATGGCAGTCCTGTGTGACAGAAATCCTGACCTGACCAGGCACATACAGAAAGCTGGAGTTTGCCTACAAGTATCTAATAATCTTTTATAGTTCTGTGTTGGGAAATATCCTTTCTGATTCATTTGCACCTTGTTATAGTACTATTCCTTTTTCTCTTCTCATGAAAATCAAAGTTGAACTTTTTGACAGAAAAAACCTTGAGAAACAAAATTAGTGTGTAGTAAACAGAATTCTCACCAAGAAACAGCTTTCTGTCTAACAATCACAAAGGTGTTAACAGAACAATTTAGTGTGTCCCCAAACAATTTGACTTTCACATCACTGATTATATGCTGACATTATATTTAATGATACAATATCATACTTGACTAGTTTTCTGTATAAACCATGAAACTATATATGGAAGGAATAAATTAGGGTTTCCATTTAAATAGGCATGAAACTTCAGAAGCTGAGCAGTTTAGGATGTCCCTATATATTTGCATTTTAGTGATTCGAGCACCTCTTTCATTTGGAGAGACATTCCATTTCATTTCAGTTTTGAAACAGTGATAATAAACAGTCAACTGTCCATGGCAAAATCGGTGATATTAGCTAAAATGCTTTTTTTTTTTTTTAAGACATAGCTTCGAAGACTAATTTATCCATGAACTCCATGTGTAATAGGGAGATTAGGACAGTGGATATTATGTCAGGGGATTGATGGTGTGATGGTAGAAAGACCACTTAACTTCCTTAGGCCCTGTGCTTAAGAATCGTCCCCTCCAAATGGACGTTGAACAGAGGCTGTATCTTATAATGAACAACAAATTAATAATAACTTCACCTAGAAAAAAAACAAAGTACTGTGAATTTGCACTGGCAGTGATATTTGTATGAATGGACAGAGATTGTGATGAAAAGTAGTTAAATTTTGTTGATTGTATCTTCCTGTCTTTCTCCCATTGAAAGCAACGGGAATTGGAAGCGCTTAATATTGGCAGAAGAACACCCACTTTCTTAAGTCCATAACTGTAATCAGCCAGTCTACTTTTTATTTTTTGTAAGATTAAGCACATGCGAGGGTTTCTCAGAACTTTTTGCTTTCTAGCTTCTACAGTACAGAAATAATTCCCTATGGAGCATGATATGACTGGAGCTACAGATTTTATTTCTTGTCTGATATAGTTATCCAGAATCTAAGGACAAGCTTCATACCTTTTGAATTTTGAATCATGATCACATGATAACTAGTGAGCCTACTGTTTCACTGACAGAAGGAACAAAGTCTGCCATAAGGAATTATGACAAAGTTGTTTTTATCATATTTTTGTACATGTTTTCAAGCTCTCTCTCTTCTCCTGATGCTGGAGTAGGAGTTTGTGCCAGGCAGTTTACTGAATTGATATGATTCAGAGCTGTTGTGCCACGAACCCAGAAAGATGCCTGTATTCTCTTCCTGTGAAAGCAAGACTCCCACACAAAAAAATCAACATGGAAATACCTGCTGTTGAGTTCCTGTAGCTATACTATGCATGAATATTATGAATGCAGGAGCAGCACTTGTGTGAACTGTACCCTGGTATTGTTGCTGCAGAATGGTATTATAGGATAATAGGCCGGCAGGCAGGCAGATAGGTAAATCACCTTCCCAGAGAACTTGCTGAAGGATGGGGTATGAATGAGGTTGAAATCTAAGCTATTCAAACTACAAGTAACATCTGCCACAGAGCACATAGCAGAGCCTGGTCTTTTCCTTTACTTGCAACTGCATGTGACTCCAGTTTAGATCAGGGGCAGCATGCACCAGGAGCAGAAGAACTAAACCTATCTCGCCCCTTTTCTTCCTGGAATTTCACCTGGCCCTTGACATGAAATAATCAGACTCAACTACATGCTAAGCAATTAACATCACGTGTAGTTTGACCTTTGTTTATTCCTTTATACCACACCTTTCCATCACAAAAAAATAGTACTCACTAAGGGAAGTAGTGTGGTGGGGTAAGGAGTAAGCCAAGTGAACTGCCCAGAGAGTTTTGGCTAGTGGATGGTGAAATAAACAATTGTGGGGCCTACTTCTTAGTGGACATTGTGCTGTAAATAAAGAGGCAAGAAAGACACATTCTTTGGTATTATCATATTTTTCAGATAAAAGATGTTTGACATACATCTGGGGATGCTGGAGAGATGTGCAGTTCATTCACATGAGTTCAGGTTTCTCTGAATATAACTTGCAGACTCCACAGCAGATCCACTTTTTCCAGGTTGCATGGAATCTCAAACCAATTTTATTTTTGTTTTAGCTTCTGTGTAAATTTGTACTGTCATTAATGCATAATAGTGCAAGTGAAATGAAATTAGGCATTTCTAAAAAAAAAAATCTGATTATGTCAGTGGGCAGATGAAGGAATGAAGGATGCCAATTAAACAGATGGGAGAGACTTAAATGGGTATTTATAAATTTAAGTATGACTGTGGTGAATGTGTTTGCAAACACATGTGTATCATCCAAAATATCTGGGAAGCTGGGATTAATGTGCTTCCCTGGGGACTATACTTGTTGGCATGTTGGAGCTTGTTGCTGCTGCACAATATGTGAAAGAACTCTTATAGCCAGTTCCTTTGTCTTCCTCCAGGAATTAGAAATGCTGTGTATTCTTGGACCTACACACAAACACTGGGCCTCCAGATGCTGGGCTCCCCTCTTTATTCCTGTTTTATTAGCAGGTGCAGTGAGAAAGCAAAATAGAGACCTTTTCATGCATGCCTGGGGATTCAATTCAGTACCCTAATATTTGTCATTAATCAATGTCTTTTGAGTTGTTGCATACAAAAACTTGCAACATGTTCGTGCTCTTTTGTTGAACTACAGAATCCAGTGATAACTCTGAGAACTCATATGTTCTATGTTTGCTTTTAATATTCTATTATTTGGGAGAAACAGAGTCACACTACTGACATTGTGTAATGTATGCCTCAGCAGACAGAGAGAAGCTGTTGATACAGA